CGGTGTCCCGATATAGCCAGCTGGCGCCATCGCTGGTGATTGGGGGTGAGTCATTGGCCCCCATGGAGAGGGCTCGCAACTTGGGTGTCCTCCTGGATACACGGCTGTCTTTAGAAGAGCATATGACGATCGTGGCCAGGTGGGCTTTTTATCAGGTTCACCTGATATGCCAGTTGTGTCCCTTTCTGGATTGGGACTCCCTACGCACGGTCACTCAAGCACTTGTCACTTCCCGCCTGGACTACTGCAATGCTCTCAACATGGGGCTCCCCTTGGGGTGCACCCGGAGGCTCCAACTGGTTCAGAATGCGGCTGCGCAGGGGATTATGGGAGCGACGGGGCGCTCCCATGTTACACCTCTTCTGCGCGAGCTGCACTGGCTCCCAGTGGTCTTCCGGGTGCACTCAAGGTGTTGGTGACCACCTTTAAAGCGCTCCATGGCTTAGGGCCTGGTATCTACGAGACCGCCTTCTGCTGTTATGGAATGATGAGACCAAACAACATTCCTGGTAAGTCAGAGACAGTTTATTGTGCAGTTTCAGAATCAGATTTGGATCTGCAATTCTGAACCAAGAAGAGCTCTGATACAACTGCTTTTATAAATCTCAAAGACAAAGGATTTTGCGAGCACAGCAGTTTTCCATATATGGTTAACATACATTTGTTACATTATAATTGGCACTTTCTAATTACTAAATTCCTTCATTATTTTCTAGTTCATAAGATTATCTTAGCTAAACAACCTTCCTCAATTCTGTGACTGCTGATGCGTACATTCATGGCTGCTTTTGGATAATAAGTAACTTTTGTTTCTTATGGATGTCCTTGCATCCTTGACAGCTAGGCCCCTCAGAAGATATATATTACCAAGAATGGAATTTAGCTGACTTAGTGTAATCTCTCAACAAGCACATTTCTTTCTTATAATAATGTGAATAAAGAGGGTCCTTCAGTGTTCATATAGCTGACCCTGTACTATTCCTATACCATTCACATTACTGCCACCAATAGCCTCCCACCAGCCAGTACGCTCTACAGAGAGAGCCTCCTCAGGGTGCCGTCGGCCAGACAATGTCGGCTGGTGACCCCCAGGGGGATAGCCTTCTCTGTGGTGGCACCCACCCTCTGGAACAACCTACCCCCCGAGATACACATGACACCGGAGCTCTGGACTTTTCGTCGGGCCCTAAAAACTCACTTATTTCATATAGCCATGCTGGCTTGATCCCATTCTTTTGGTTTTAATTCGTAATCGATTTTAATTGGGTTGTTTTAAATTGTGGGCCGAAATTATTTAATATCTTTTAAACTGTTTTAAATTTTGTATGCTATGTTTTATCTTGGCTGTTCACTGCCCTGAGTCCAGTTGGAGAAGGGCGGTATAAAAATCAAATAAACAAACAAACAAACGAACGAACGAACGAACGAACAAACAAACAAACAAACAAACAAACAAACAAACAAACAAACAAACAAATAAATAAATAAATAAATAAATAAATAAATAAATAAATAAAATAGTCCTAGATTACTTCTCTCCTTGATTAATTTCCATCCATTGCTTATTGTTCTGCCTTCAGCGGCTTTGTAGAATAGATTGACCCCCAATTCTTTATAACAGCCCTTCTCTAATAATAGTAATATGTCCTCGACTAAACCTCATCAAAAATATCACTGGAAGCCAGGATCACCAAACACAGATCATACTTTGATCATGTCGCAAGAACTGATTCACTCAAAAAAATCAATCATGCTGGGAATGATCAGTGGAAAAAGAAGAAGGGGCCACTCTGGTACCCACTGAGTGGACACTATAAAGGATGACACTGGGATGACCATGGCAGACCTAAAGGAGTCAGTGTGAGACAGAGGGGCATGCCGAGTTGTGATCTACACCCAGGGCCGGATTTTCCTATAGGCTAACTAGGCTTCAGCCTAGGGCCTCAAGATCAAGAGGGGCCTACAGTGGTGGGATTCTGCCGGTTCTTAAATTGTTGGCTCGCCCCTCCCCTTGCCAATAAATAGTGGGGGCGGGGCAGGGCGAGCCAGTAATTTAACAAACGGTTCGGTGTTTTTTTAATTTATTGGCCTCGCAGCAGTGGTGGGTTGCTGCTGGCTGGCCACACCCCCGAACCGGTCCCACTCGCTTGCCCCAGCTGCCCGACGCTTGCTCGCCCCGCCCCCTTCCACCCAGTCACTCATCAGTGATCCTGTGTGGGTCCTCGCTTGCAGCTTGCCTGCCTGAAGTACTGCGCCTGCCAGGTAAGCCTGCGAGTCGCGGCCTACCTAGCTGCCCCTGGCCCCCCTCCGCCCCCACCATCCCAACCTGCCTCCCCTACTCCCTTCCCCGCAGCCCGTAGCCCTGCCATGGTTCCCTGCCTTCCACGTGGCCTTCCCAGTGTCCCCGAGACCAGCTTGCGAAGGCAGGGAAGTGGGCTTGGCTCCCGGGACCGCCGGGAAGGCAGGCAAGCATGGCAGGGCCACCCGGCTGTGGGGAAGAGAGCTAGCAGCTTCCTTCCTTCCCCAAAGCTCTGCCATGCTTGCCTGCCTTCCAGGCTGCCTTCCAGGCGTCCCCAGCTTGCCATCCACCCCCACCCCGCTTCCCTTTTAGCTTTCTTTAATGCGCCCCGCTTGTCTCCCCAAACCTTGCGAGGCGGCATCCTCCACACCACAAAGCCCTCCAAGCAGCTGCAGGAGGGGAAAAGAAAAAAAAACCCTTGGCTTCTGAAGCCTTTGAAGGTGTGTGTGTGTGTGTGTGTTTGACTGCACTGAAGTGAGCCACGTGAAGGGAGCCCGCTGGGTAACAACGCCGGCTGCGATCGCTGCTGCCTCCACCTCTGCCTCTCTCTGCCAACAGAAGTCAGAGAGGAAAAAAGGAGCTTTTCTCCGCATTTCATCCCAAGTCAGCCGCCCTCACTGGAAACACGGAGAAGCGCTCAGCAAAGCAACTGCTTTTTCCCCTCCGACTTCTATGGAGGCAGAGAGAAGGAAGAGGCAGAGGTGGCAGGATCGCGTGGCTCACTTCAGCGCTGCCAAACACACAGACCCCTTCAAAGCCTTTTCTTTTCTTCCCCCCCCCCCCTGCAGCCACCTCGAGGGCTTTGGGGAAGGAAGCGGGACACGTTAAAGGCTGGCTGAGGAACTCTGGGAGTTGAAGTCCACAAGACTAAAAGCTGCAAAGGTTGGTGACCCCTGCCCTAGACCACTTTAGGAGCAAAGTGGTTGGTCTAGCTGGCATTTCAGGAAGAAGGGGAGGGAGGGAGGGAGGGAGGGAGAGAGAGAAATAGAAAAAGAGACAAAGGAAGAGACAAAGAAAGAAAGAAGGAAAGAGAGAGAGAGAAAGAAAAGAGAGAGACAGAGAGAGAAAGAGAAAAAGAAAGAGAGAGAGAGAGAGAAAGAAAAAAAGACAAAGAAATAGGAAGGGTGAGAGAGAAAGAGAGAAAGAAAGAAGAAAGAGAAAGAAAGAGGAAAGAAGGGGGGAGAGAGAGAGAAAGAAGAGGAAGGAAGGACCACAAACCCTGGCACTGTCCTGTTTCAAAGAAGACACTTTGAAACAGGACAGCAATCTAGGGCTGGAAGGGATCTTAGAGGCCATCTAGTCTAAAAAATATTTTGTTCTAGATTCTAATCTAAGAATGAGTAAAAGATTTGAAAGTGGCGCTTGCAAACGCAAAAAAATAAATGTCCAATAAATGTCCGAATAAGTGTTCTCGACTTTTATTTATTTTATTTTATTTTATTTTTTTCTTTTTATTCGAATTTCTATACCGCCCTTCTCCTTTCGGACTCAGGGCGGTGAACAGCCAAAATAAAAACATTTATACATAAATACGATTAAAAATAGATTTAAAATAATTAAATTTGGCCTATAGTTTAAAATTTATCAATTTAAAATCCATATCAAAATTTAAAACCAACCATAAAATCATAAAATCAAGAGAGACCGGCTAACTGAAAGAGATGAGTTTTTAGGGCCCGACGAAAGGTCCGGAGGTCGGAGATCACTCGTATCTCCGGGGGTAGATTGTTCCAAAGGGTAAGTGTCACCACAGAGAAGGCTTTCCTCCTGGGGGTCGCCAGCCGGCATTGTCTAGCCGACGGCACCCTGAGGAGGCCCTCTCTGTGGGACCAAACTGGCCAGTGGGAGGCTATTGGTGGCAGAAGGCGGTCCTATAAGTACCCTGGCCCTAAGCCATGGAGCGCTTTAAAGGTGATTACCAACACCTTGAAGCGTACCCGGAAGTCCACCGGAAGCCAATGCAGCTCGCGCAGGAGAGGAGTCACATGGGAGCGCCCAGTCGCTCCCATAATCCCCCGCGCGGCCGCATTCTGCACCAGTTGGAGCCTCCGGGTGTACCCCAAGGGGAGCCCCATGTAGAGAGCGTTACAATAGTCCAGACGAGAAGTGACGAGTGCTTGAGTGACTGTGCGTAGGGAGTCCCGATCCAGAAAGGGGCGCAACTGGCGTATCAGGCGAACCTGATAAAAAGCCCCCCTGGCCACGGCCGTCATATGCCCTTCTAAGGACAGCCGTGCATCCAGGAGGACGCCCAAGTTGCGGGCCCTTTCCGTGGGGGCCAATGATTCACCCCCAATAACCAGCGATGGCGTCAGCTGGCTATACCGGGACGCCGGCAGCCACAGCCACTCGGTCTTTATTTATTATCCATGCCACATTTTTTATAAAGGTTAGTACCAATCACAACATGTTTCATTTAACATATTGATATATATCACAGTAATGATGTATTTTATTATCTCTCATGTAATTTACAACCTTAAAAATGGGAGGTGAAAGGGCGTCATAAGTTGAATAGCCTAGGGCCTCTTTTCATCTAAATCCAGCCCTGTCTACACCCAAACTTTCTGAAGTTTTCACTCGACAATAATCAACCCTCATTGATAACCCAGGATTGGCGGCTTAGACAAGTTGAAGAAGTGCTCTGAAGAAAGGAAGGTTTTTGTTTGGCTTCAGATTCACTTCCTCTCACTGTGTCTCCAACACAGAAATAAATTGCCGTGTCTTCAGCTTTGAGGCTGTTCATTTGCAGATACAGCTGGCTTTTGGCATTGTCCCTGGAGATGGTGAAGCGGCCCTTGACTTTGTCTGAGTAGAACGTTCGACTGGAATCAGTATAGATATGTGCAATCCATTCCAGTCCTTTTCCAGGAGCCTGTCTCACCCAGTTCATCCCATAGCTGCTGAAGGTGAATCCAGAGGCTTGGCAGGAGAGACGGAGGGACTCTCCAGGTCTTCTCACATCTCCTCCAGACTCCACCAGCTGCACTTGAGATTGGACCCCTAAAAAGAAAAGTGTTTTTTTTAAAATGAGATCTCCTGCATAGAGGAGCAGAACATGGAAATAAACTCTATATGGGAGAAACAATTACCATTGAGGAGTACTAGTAAGGACACAAGGTTTAGCCACATTTTTGCTCCCTCTAATGAATGGAGGGAATTGCCAAGAGACGATTCAGCAAATAGCACAAGGTTGAGGTTGGTGGGTGTTGTTCTACAAAGGAAAACAATGGGGCTCTTTTAAAGGGGAAATTGTGCCTCAATTTACATATCTATTGGGATAAAAGACATTTCGGTGAACATAACCTACATCTACATTTTGTAATCAACATTCTAGTCCTAAGAAAAGTTTTGGACACATTTTTTCCTTGAGTTAATAGATAAAAGAGTCAGTTTACTGTACATTAACTACAAAAAAGGCTTGAAAATTTCACTACACTTCCAAATGCTGTTAGTAATAGGGAATAAATGGACACGTTAGTCCCATTTAAGGACATTTATTAGAGAAGTTAAAAAAGCTAGTATATTTGAATTAAAATGTTTGCTATCAGATTGTTTCTTAAACCATTGTTTATTTTGTGGAAAATCCCAGCTGCCATCATGGAACACTTCTTCAGCTAGGCAAGTTGGGGCCACTCAACTCACAAAGTAAAACTTAAGTCATATTGTGACCAAATACAGTCTCTCAATTCGAAGAGAATGAGAAATAATTCTCTTTGTATTATCCAAAAGATTCTGTTTCCTCTGAGATTTCTTTTGTAAACCCAGACATGGTTTCCCAGTATGGATTATAGAGATTGGATTGCTAAGGTGAAGTGAAGAAGAAGTGAAGTTGTTTTGAGTTCCATGGAGAGAAACTTTAAAATCTTCTGGATTGCTGTATAGCATTTGTATTATTTATTTATTTATTTTATTACATGTATTTATATGCCGCCATTCTCCCGAAGGACTCAGGGCGGCAAACACAAGTTAAGAAACAAGTACAATAAAATCATAATTTAATCCAAATAATTAATTAGTAGTAAATAATAAAGCCCGGAATCAGTCTATAGCCTATTTGTTTGAAAAGCCAAGTCTTCAAGTCCCAACGGAAGGAGCGGAGATCAGGAGTCATCTGGAGCTCAGTAGGTAATTCATTCCAGAGGGTGGGAGCACCCACAGAGAACACCCTATCCCTGGGCACAGCAAGGTGACATTGGTTCGCCGTCGGAACCCTGAGGAGAGTGGCCCTGTCACTGCGTTATTTTATTTGCCAGCTGAACTCATTATTTCTGGACTGTCAGACTCTCCGTAGCTTTGCCAACTTCTTATCAGTAAGCTACGTGTTTCCGTATCCACCCACATTCCTTCACAAACTCTTTCCTTTGTTCTCTTTCCAGCAAGGTCCGGCTGAAAGATAGCTGGCCCGAATTACCTTCAAAAATGTAACAATTAACTTTTCTTAGTTAGTGAGGTGTTTTATTTTCTTTATAACAAATAAATGAGTTTTATTAGAAACCTTTCTTCGCGTTTCTTTATCAGAATAGTGCAACAAGGAATAAGCCTCGATTCATCTTCTCTAAACCAGGGTAATTAGTCCCAGAGCCAAACATGGGATTAATAAATGCCCTGACATTATGGTAGCAGAGGATGGTTTGATTTATGGCTTTTTCCTTGTTTTTGTTACTTCTGATAAGAGTGCATAGGCAATTAGTTTTTAGCTACTGAGGTACGCTAATTATATTGCTGAGATGCCGAAACAGAAGAAAAAAAAGGCAAAGTGAAACCAAGACCACTCTTCGTAAATGATTTGATTGATCTTTCCAACGAAGAGGTGGCAGACAGGAGGTTTCCAGATTTCCAGCCCCTTACTACAGCCACACGCCTGGAACGAGAAGAAGCCGTGGGAACAGAAATGGATGGAGATAAGACAGAAGCTGTTTTTGAAGATGATGATTTACGACTGAGGTCAGTAACATTTTCTTCTGATCTTCCAAGCTCTGAAAAAGTCTCCCCAGAACCTTCTGAATTTTTAACGCTCGGTGCAAGCACTGCTGAGCAAAATTACTCCCACGCAGAGAGAGAAACAATTCATTACTCTTCTCAAAGCCCTGAGCTCACCCAGCGTGAGATGGCCATCAAATCCTATCGTGAGCATGTAAAATATTATGAAAATGAACTGTCTCGATTTAAGAGAGATTTGTTTATGCTTGAGCATGATAAGGAAGAATCCCGTGACTTAAGATTTTCAAAAGAGGCCATCTTGTCTTCTTGCTCAGAGCCAAAGACACTCCCCCTGGTGGATTCTGTGTCAGGCCAATTAAGACAGAGGGCACTGCATACGTCACATGAAAGTCTCCCTGATCAAGTTACACATGTCTTACATAACCACTCCTACTCAAAAGCATACAATGCCCCGTATGCAAAGCTGCCCGAAGCTAAAGGTGCAGCACCATCTGCTGGCAAAAGTAATTTACTACAGGAAGCTGAAATGCCACAAGTGTTTCCACAGGCCCAAACTCAAACACCCCCTGGCGGTGTTGGTGTCCTTTTAGATGGAACAAAGCAAAGGCAAATGATTGCATCTCCAGCAGGTCATGCCAATATTGCAGATCAAGCACAAATGGCAACTGGAATACAGCAGATTCCAGTGCATCAGCCACAGCAGCTACAAATGCCTGCATACGTGCCCCAGCCACAAGTGCAAATAGGGCCACCTCCTGGCCCACCTCCAATGGCACAACCAAGACCATTTTTAGGTCCACAACAGGCACAGCAAATACCACAGGCATTCCTGCCAGCACAGCCAGCATACCAAGTGCAGGCTCCTTACCAGGCATTCAATTCATTTTCTGTCTCTCCACTAACTGGTGAGTCAAAACTAAAAATGTCTGAACTCCACGGTTCGAGATTGAAACCTGGTGAACAAATTGGAGGACATTTGACCAAACTGAAAGGTCTGAGAACAGAATTGAGAGAAAGAGGCCATAACATTGAAGATATTCAAATGATCAGCATCATTATTAACTCTTTGAACTATGAATGGAAAGATGCTGTTACAAAAATTAACCAAGTCCCTATTGCTCAACGCACAGTGGACAATGTCTGTAGACTTTTAATTGAAGAAGAGGCATTCATGTTAGCCACACCACATTTGAGAGGACCACCCGCATCAAGAGCTCCAGCTAGACGCCCCTTCCGAGGAAGGACCTACGCTCCAAGGACGCCAAGATGCAACACCTGTGATCGTGTGGGACATGCCACCCGGGATTGTCCCCAACGAGTTCCAGCTCCCGTCACATACCAGCCCAGAGGAACAGACTCCAGAGGCAGAGGCAGAGGCGGAAGACAAGGTCGTCGTGGTCCCCGGCGTGATCCACAAACTCCACTCGCCACATTGGCTTTAACCAATGATCCACAACCTCAACCAGAGTACGACAGACGACTCCTGTGGACTTTGGACAGTGGTGCAGCATTGCATGTTACCTACAGAAAGGAACTTTTCACAGAGATGCACGAGCCTGAACCAGAACTACGTGAACTTTATTCTTTTTCAAATCATCCTTGTCAGGTCAAAGGAAAAGGAACTGTTTATGTTCAAGAGCTCGATGCATTCATTCCTGATGTTTATTACATACCAACAGCAACCAGTAATTTGCTTAGTCAGTTTCACTTGTCTAGAATGTTAAAGTTCCAAGTTCACCACCTTGAAAAAGCAAGTTACATAGTTAAAGATGGAGATATTGTTGCTGAAACCATATTAATTGGTGGTGTTTATTACTTAAAGCCAAAGCCTAAACCACAAACACAGGCAAGTATGCAAACTCCAAAAGGGCAGAGCACAGGCCCAGAGAGAGATGCTCCAGAGAGAGATCCTGTTGCTACCCCTAAGGCTCCTAAAGCCAACAAAAATAGAATTGGTAAACAGGCTGCTCAGAGCAAGCCTGAGGTTCCGCATAAAAATGTTAATGTTGAGAATTCACTAACAGGTAAACCTTTGCATTCCAGGTGTATCCACAAATGGCATAGAAGATTGGGGCATGCCAGTTTCCGTGTTCTTAGGAAGATGCTGGAGTTCGCAAAAGGTTTGGATCTAAAGGGGTGTAAGGTGTTTTTGGATTGTGCTGTCTGCAAAAAGGGCAAATCCAAACCAGCAGCCATTCCCAAACGCGCTACACGCCTGTCAACACGCATTTTTGATTTGGTTCACATTGACATAGTTGGTCCATTCCCGCCATCATTTGGTGGTAGAAAATATTTTCTAACAATTGTTGATAATTACTCTAGATATGGATATGTGTATCCTATGAAAGAAAAATCAGAGACCTTTCAGATCTTTAAAGACTTTGCAACCCTTGTTTCTACCCAACACCAAGTTCGCATCGCCAGAATCCAGAGTGATCGTGGTGTCGAATTCATGTCTCAGCGTTTCCAGGACTGGATGCGTAAGAATGGAATTATTCATCAGACTTCGGCCCCTGACACATCGGCTCACAACGGAGAGGTACTGCAAACCATGATGTGTTGTCTCCTAGAAGACGCCAATCTTGATATGATATACTGGGGTGAAGCTATCAAGTATGCAAATTACATTGTCAACCGTACTTGGAGCAGTGTAATAAATCAGACTCCTTTCTTCATGTTGTATGGCTACAAGCCTTATCTTAAAAACATCCATATTTTTGGTTCATATGCTATGGTGAACATTCCCTTAGCTCAAAGAAGAAAAGGAGGTCCAGAAGCAAAGAGACTGAGATTTATGGGTATTGATGATAACTCAAAATGGAGCAAATTTATTGACTCTAAACATGTAATTGTGATTTCCCAATCTGCTAATTTTGAGGAAGATATTGACTGGTCCAGGATTCATTCCAATGATCCTGGAGTTTATTTTCCCAGAGATGATACTGCTGATGTTACGCAGATTGATGATCAAGATTCCACTGATTCTTCTCAACCCGATGTTCCGTCTTCGCAAGCCGCAGATGCTGACGCTAGCGACGAAAGTGAGGACGAGGACGAAGAAGAAGAAGACTGGACAGTTGTCCCGAGACGTTCCAAGAGGGCCACAAAAGGGATCCCTCCACAACGATATTCTTGGCAACTGACAAAAGCACCCTTGCCTTTGATTTGCAATGTTACACTTCCACCTGATAATTTCACACAAATCAAGCAGCTCCCTGATTCAGAGCAAGACAAATGGTATGAAGCAATGCAG